ACAGTGCTTATTTGTTATTAAATTATCAGCGAGAAAAATTTCAGCAGGCGAAGTGACATGCAATGTCATTGCTTTTTAATGTTTCCATCACCTTGAGGGATTTCTTTTGTCGTGTTCTTGAAAGGGATTCTTCACGCTTAACGTTAACATAGAAAGCTTAACCTGCCACTGCTATATATAGTTTAGCGAAAAGTGAAATATTTATTCCTTTTTTTTTCGAAAGTTTTTAAACATGCTTTGTTCCTAAGTATATTGGACTCTAAGGCAGTCAAGTAAGAGTATTTGTTTATAAAAACTATTAAAAACAAAGGAAAAGTTCTTATATTATGTTTATTTATCGTGAGATGAACAATGCTATTCAAATACAACATTTTATTCAACATTTCACCTTTACATTGCAATTTATTATATATATATATTTATGTTTATAATACACTTATAATGTGTATACTATCTCTCATTTATTTCGGGAGTTAATTAGTGAAATAATGAGCTTTAATAAAATTCGACTTTATTGAGCAAGGAATCCTAAAAGAGTCTTATTTGTAGAATGATTTATCTCTGGTCTCAAAACTTGATTCAGTTAGGCAGTCGACTTTCTACTGAAACCACATCTTTATTGCTCGATTATTGCTAACCCACAAATATATATAGTAATCATTGAATCAGAGTCAATAAGAAAGCGATTTCACCGATTTTTTTTATTGGTGCGATCATTTTATGGAATGATTTGTTTCGAGCATCACAATATTTTTAATTTGGGATTATTTTTAACAATAACTTCCTTTAAATTTACCAGTAGGAGTTACTGACATTTGCGTTTTCGATCGGTTGGTTGCCGTTTAAAACTGGACTATATTGATGGATGCATGGTACAAACATTGTCACATATCAAAGAAAAGCGTTTTTTACTACTGTGAAACTTCTTCAAACAGTATTATAACTCAAAAAAACTGCAGTTAACTTTGCATACTAAGTTTTATGGTCAAATATTCATGGAATATGATAACTATATATTCTAAAGTGTACACTCGACTAATTCTTAGTCTAACTTAGCCAATGAGTGATTATTAGTTCTTTTGTAATTCCAGCAGCAACCATATATACATCTCGAAGTTAAATATCATCGACACCTATGACTGTCGATCGCCATTTTTATCGAATTTTTACCATTCACAAGGAAGGGCGAATCCAAACGGAATAGAACCGCTGATAAATTGGTAAGAAATATATCACTACTTTAATTTTTTTTCTCACTCTTATGACAGTTCATCTAAATGTTCTACCTAATCTCATATCATCCTATTAGATATTCTTTCCCACCTTTTTTCGTTTTATGTTACTGATGATGTTTTGATGTTTTTCGCTAATCCGCTTTTATTCCTATTCCGCTTAAATTAATGACATTTTCGAATTTTTTGTTACTTTTGCTTCAGCACATTTATTGGCACACACTCTTCCTGTAAATTGCGTAGACATTGTTTGAAATTGCGGATATGCGGTTCACGTTATATCCACAAATCTTATTCAATGGCGATGATATTCTGCAAAGACTTGCCACATTTTTATTTGTTTGCTACTTTTTTTTCATATTCAAACATTCGCATGAGACTAATGACACTTGAGAAAAGTTATTATGACAACAGCAGTGATAACAATAGCTATGACGATAACCAGCTATAATATTGGTAGCGATAACAACAATAATAATGTCTGTAATTGTATATGAGAATATCTTCATGTGTATCGCATATCTCTCTTAAGGTTCGAAGCTCTAATGTAATTTTGTATGTAAGTTTTATGATTACAGGACGACTTTGCAAGCATATTTATCAGCGATTCAAGCACTTCCGAATTACAAATTTCGTATGTACAGCCAGATGTCTGTCTGTCTGTCTGTCTGCTTGTCTGGTTAAGTATCTCGTTGACAGTCGAAACGATAGTCTGTTGCATTTATGTTTATAGTTCTTAATGCATTACTCTGTGAATATGCATTAACATTTAGCAAAACATAAATGTGCGCCCATTTATTGTCTGCGTCTACTGCGACTGTTAATATCGCCCTTTTCGGTAATGACAGTGAAATTTTTGTTGTTGTTACTTACTTTTCCAATTTTCACATTTCTATACCCTACACTGTAAAAAATTATTTTCTTATTACGTGACAACACACATCGTAACATAGTGTAAAATATAGCAATTAATGAATAAATGCTATGTGAAATAGAAACGAATATCTTTAAAAATTACTCAAAAATGGAAAGTTATGTATGTATCCCAATTCTTCAGATATTTAAAAATCTGAAGATATAGAGGAAATACACTTCTTTAAAAATGTTTCATAAAACATTTTCAATATTGAGAAATTTCAGACAAATAAAAAATCTGTTGAACATGATGACATAAAACTATTTCAATATATGCTTCCTCACAAATTACAGCAAAAGATACATCCTTAATAACAACCTTCATATCCTCAACTCATCAATCCAAAAATTCTGGAAGATGAACCAAAACACGTAAAGATTGTTAGAAATCTTAACATATGTTCAAGTTAAATATGAATCATTCCTTCATGAGTAGCACAATAGATTTCATAGACCACAGCTCTGCAGTGACCAACTATACATTTGAGTTCATTTTGTTCAGACTAAAAATCAGTCAGTAGGACAATAGATTTCATAGACCACAGCTCTGCAGTGACCAATTATCCATCTGAGTTCATTTTGTTCAGACTAAAAGTCAGTCAGTATTTTAATTGTTGACCCGAATGAGCAATAGGCATAGCCTTAGGCATTTAGCAAGAGCCCAAGTTTATATTGAAATCTTTCAGGTACTTTTTTTGCCAAAAAAAAGTCCTGTGAAGAGAATCACGGCACTTTTAATCGCAAGAACATTAGTTGTTTCATTACCGTTGAATCTCTCATGACCAGTCATTTAGACAAGTGTTACTTTATTTGTTTGAATATGAGTTTGAATATGAAACTTTCAACACCAACCTTTATCAGAGATCAAGCAATACCAATAATTATTATACAGCTATATTATAACTAAAGATGCAGAAATTTATAACAATTATCTTGGGGATCACTTTCTCAAAGGCCTGACAGAGACAACGAACGCAAACTTATCGGATCTCTTTAACTTGATTTAGAAAACCGAATGGTTTAACAAGGATCATACATAAAGACAACTAAGGTTATCTTCGGCAACTCGCCACTCCCGGAAAAATCTTTGAGGGTATCACGATTGGCAATATATGCCTCCGACCCCTATACCAATAATTATGGAAATCAACTTCAGAAGGGCAACTTAAATAAAATACCACCAAACTAAAAATACATGAATATGACAATGCTTGTTACTAATACTAATAATATAATATCGGAGCTTTTCTAACAGATAGCTTACACCATTTCAAAAATATGTTAGTCATGATAAATATCCCACTCAAAATCAAGAACTCAATGCACAAATCAAGATGTCAAAATCCAGATCACACATCGGAAGTCCAGGATTATTATAATAGAGGTTTAGTGATTACCGAAATATCGCTATATAATAAATTTTAAGGGAGCAGATAGATATTTAGATAACCACACTATTTTTGTATAATTTTGATTAAGATTTCTATAGTAAAATTCTTTTAGAAATTTTATCACACTTTCTAACTTATGCAGCCCTAACACGACTTATACAAAAATAATATCTTTGGAGTATGCAGTATCTCATATCACATTTCTCAAATCCACTTAAGTCGTGCAAATATATGACTTCAGTTATTTGTAGATTATCACCCAGTCGTTTCAAATCGACTGTTTTAATTTAGTCTGAATTCCCGAATAATTTTTTTAGGAATTTTTGTCTGCATGCAAACATGCCCACTACCACCGCTGCCATACGATATATGCATCCATCCCAAAATTGAGGCGGCAATATTTTTTGGGTGGCTTGCCTTGCCTGTTTGCTTGATTCCATAGTATCTCTTCTTTGTGTTTGTTTTTAAATTTTTCATTTAAATTTGGCTATCGGCAGTCAGTCGTGGCTGTGTATTTCGCTGCACGATTCACTGAGCAAATGCATATATCTATAGCGGTTTTTCATTATACGAGTATCTTTAATTTGCTGCTTTTAGTGGATTATTACGATTATTGTTATTGTGCGCGCTATTCAATTTCCGTTTTATCGCAAAATGTTCAGTTCAATATACATAATTCGTTTAGTTTGATTGACAATGACGCGCCCTTATTTCGTATGTAGGTATGTCCAATAAACTTTGTTAATACAGTAAATATGAAAATAATTTATTTCTTCGATTTTGGAAAATTTATATGCATTAACTTTTTTTCAGAGTATATTATATTAATGTACAAAAAATTTTGTATACGTATTAGAATAACATATTTCTGGATATTTTTTTTATGTTTTTATCTCTTCGCAGTTTTTTTTTTTTGAGATACATATGTTGACTTTAGGTTAAAAATTTGACATATGAGTTTTTTTTTATAAATACATTTCGTTGCTTTTACAGTTTAAGATAAGAATTTAAATTTGGCAAATGTCAAAATATAAGCAGACGACAAAAATAAAACATAATAACACTGAAGTCCTGAAATCGTTGCCAGTTGAAAAAGTAAGTTGTTCATAAAAATCACTTCAGAATTTTTTAAATGATAATAGCAAATAAGAGGACATGCTAAACTCGAGTACTATAACAGCCAACATTATCAACAGCCTCACAAATAAACGTTTTCAATCATGTACTTACTATACTAGAAGTTTTTCCATATAAAAAAAAACAAAGAGATAGTATTTTGTACTATCTCTGAAAAGAGTCATCCAAGCCGACCTAAACAACCTTATAAACCTAACAAAATCTTTTGATAAGATTTCAGACATCCTTCGATATTTTACTTAATTTTACTATTATAAGTCAATATAATATATTGACTTTTTATTTACACATCTTTAAATCAGTTTTATAAAAATAATATGCTTACCTTTCTTTGGATCCATATTAAACTTTTTACGTCCAATAGACATCTGTTTATCTTTATTGGAATGTTTACAGTCTTCCGGCACATCAAGTGCTTCCATTTCAGAAACAACCTCACAAAGTTCATCTTTTATTTGCTGTAACATAGAAAACAGAGAAATTTGTTAGTAAAGTAAAAAAAAAATATATTAATGGAAAGGAACTACAGCATATGTAAAGCATTGTTGAGTTATATGCAAATGTTTCATATTTTATCATAATATCTCTTATATTTAATTTCTTAATATTAAAAAACCTAAAAAACTACTAAATTAAACTGAACAAAATTATTGGCACTCCTAATGTAAAAATTAAAAAACATTTAAAAATATAAGAACGGTAACAATTAATATTTAGTGCCCAAGCCATTTTATTTATTAACAGCTTCTAGTGGGTCAACTTTTGTGTGGTTTCTAGTCCAATATTTTGCCACTCTTCAACAGTGTCATCTTCCGTTCTGTCTCTGTTGTTATAATGGTGTTCTTTGGACGTCTATTCAATTCTTCCCACCAATGTTCAATGGGATTGAGATCTGGAGATTGGGGTGGATGCGATGTGTGTGTTTTGTATGATGCACGATGTTTAAGATCATTGTTATATTGGGAGCTAAACGTGGCTGGGCAACTTAAGTTTTCGACACTTTCTTTGACATTTGTCATGAGTATTCTAATTCAATTCTAATTCCAGAAATTAGAATTGGAGTTTGTAATACATATGTGAACGTATTTGCTGTTTTCTAACAAGTAAATGTTGTCATCATTTACGTCTTTTAATTTTTTAATAGCATAAAAAATAAAGCCCAAAATTTTGACAAAGTTTAGTTTCTAAAAGGAAAAAAACTAATTTTTAACTCAATCTAGAAAATTGAAGATTCAATATAAAAAAAACAGATCTAATAACAAAATAGATTAAAATCATTTAAATGTTGATTTAGGGTAAACTACTCATGTAGATTCTACTTAATATACATAATATGTACTTAATGTACGAACTTAGTTAAAGTAGAGCAGTATATAACAGAATTTCAGAAGCCATACATGTGCGAATATTATGTGACAATGTTCGTCCGTTAATAGTTGAGTCGTATAACTTGATGTGAAGTGAATTTTGTAATCAAACTGATATCACTGTAATGAGATATGCTCTAAAATAATCACATCAGCAGAGCGCAACAAAACAATTTGTCAACTAACTCAATTGTTTTAGATTTTTTATTAATTTTGCTATTTGTTCCCTTGCCTTTCTGTGCAGAGCATGGCTGAATTCTCAAATTAAATTGGATTTCATTTCAACACAACAGAACTAATTGCGTATTTGGATGGTGAGTTCTACTAAATGTGTGACGACGCCATTTAGTTTTGTTTCTTTTATGCTGAGGTTGTTTTCAGCAACTTTTGCTAGCAATATCGTAACATACTCAACCGGAAAATATCAATTATCAAAGTGAAACACCAGCAGCCAGCAATCAACTCAACTTAGCTCAAGTTACTAACTAAGAGTCGGTAATATGGCAATAGGAATAACTCATAAACACTCCAAGTATGAACATTGACGGAACCAACGTGGGCCTCCATTGTTCCACACGCTCAAGTATGCTAGCAACTTGAGCGGCTTCTTATTCTTGTCAATTTGGCATTTTAATGGAATTATGCAAATCTCACAAAAGTATTTTTATCGTAATTTCATTGTGACTGTTGTATTTTGATATTTCTAATTGAAATATTTTTATTCAAAAATTTTACAAATATATTATATAATAAAAATAAATTCAGAAGTAAGCATGACTTGTATTTGCACCGTACACGGTGGCATATGAGCGAGGTGAAGTTTTTAAATACAAGAAATACTGTCTGTTTGTTTTATTAAATGTCAGATAAAATTTTTACCCTAAGCCTAGTACTAACATATGTTATATTTCGTACGAAAAATGATATGAAACTAGCATTTGTAAAAATTTTGTAGAATAAACTTTTTCATAGAGTATTACGTCAATTTTTTATGCGAAATAGAGACTTTATCCAACACTAAAAATAATAGGGAAAACTACTTTAAACGGATTTTATATTCAAAAACACCATGAAATATAAAATATTATACTACCAAAAAACTATTATAAATTTAATAATTAAAATTATTATTATTATAATAATTATTATTATTATATTATTATTATTATATCATTATTATTATATTATTATTATTATATTATTATTATATTATTATTATTATTACTATTACTATTACATTATTATTATTATTATTATTACATTATTATTATTATAATTTTATTATTATTATATTATAATTATTATTACATTATTATTATAATTTTATTATTATTATTATATAATTATTTTTATTATTTAATTATTGTTATTATATTATTATTATTATATTATTATTATTATTATTATATTATTATATTATTATTATTATATTATTATTATTATAATAATAAATTATTATAAATTAAAACAAACAATCACAAATAGTTAAATTAAAAAATAAAACAAATCCAATATAGTAATGAAAAAACATGAAATTAAATATTAAAATAATAAATAATATGAAATAAATATTAGAAAAAAATGAATAGAGTAATAAGATTTTAAATAAATTGTTATTACGACCAATATTCGATACGTTTTTTTTCAATATTAGTGGGCATATGTCATTAATTTAACACATAAAATTCTAAAAAATTTTTTTAAATAAAAAATTACACTTATAAATTTGTATTAAATATTTAATTATATTTTAATTTTTATAAAAAATTATTTATATTACAAATATTACGGTCTACATCGTAGACCATCTTCAGTGTACAATAATAAACAAAAAGAGTAAGGGTATTTACAAATTTACAAACAAATTTATTAAATTTGATAAATTTAATAAATACTCGAATTAATATAGTAAAACTTACTGAAACCGATTTTACGGCTAATAAAAATTATATATGCCTATACGAAAAAGTAATGAAGGAAAATATAAAATTGGAAAATGACGCCTTCCCACGAGTAGTAAATCACCATTATACGATATTTAAAAAAAATACTTAAGACTTAAATAAAAAAATATAGAAAAATAAAGTAGTTGAAATAATATATGTAAGAAGATATATTTTTGAAAAAAAAAAAAAAAAAATATTAAAAAAGTTTAATAAAATCGTGAGAACTTAATATAAAAAGATATATATGAAAAGTGAAATAAATTAAATGTACATTATACATGTACTTATTTGCTATATATCACAGATAAAGAATTTTGTTATGAATATCATATACGAGCAAAGTCCTAATAAACTAAATATTTCAATTAAAGACTATATATTCATATTAGAATTATAATTATATAAAAAACACAATCAAATGAAATATTGATTAATATTGAAATTGTAGTTGAAATTACTTTTTGTTTAATCAAAATTATTACAGTGGTTATAATGATACACAATAACATATTTTATATAGAATTATAAATTAAAAAATATGCTTAAAAAAATATTATAAAACTTATTCATATAAATGTTATAATTATAAATCTAAAATCAATAGTTAAAAATATTTTATATACTATTGAAAATATATATATTAACTATAATATTTATTGAACCTAATTTTTTTTCACTATTATTTACAATAAAAACAAATATTTATTAAATTTTCTGCAAAAGGTGAATACCCCAGAGTATTACGTATGCACATGAAACCCACTGTTCGCAATTATATGAATGGATAATGGGCGTCGTGTACTCGTATTTTAAGTAATTAATTAAGCAATTAAAGTCAATAAACAAGTCTCAAAACAATTAACGAAATTGTATTTGTACTAACTATAATCAAATAAAATAAAATGGCAAAACCAAATGTAAATTAAGGGGGCGAAGAGCAATGATACCTCCTAATAGAGAAATCAAAATTTTGGCAATATTTTTAGTTTTCTGAATCATAACCAAAATATAATTTTTGTTGTTGTTTTACTTTTATTAAAAAGAAAATTTTAATTCAAAAAATATAAATAATAATAATATTACATTGAGAGAGAAATTAAACGTATCATATGTGAAACATAAACATTTTTAGCAACATTTCGGAGTAATAACTTTTGTTAGTATATGCAATTGATATGTTTATATAACTCATTCATTAATATAAAAAAATTGTGATATAATAATTATAGATATTAATTAATTTTTTTCGGAGTAATGAATATAATAATATTCGGAGTAATAAAAAAAGTTAATTAATGAAAAAAAAAAACAATATTTAAATATTTTTTATCTATTTTAATAATGCTTTTATTATATAGATTATTATTTTTATAATAATAAGAACAAGTTTAGTAGTTTATTTTTCTCATTTTCTATAAATTTTCGGAGTAATTAATAAATAAAAAGTACGCTCCATAAGATTTTAAGATATGTGTAAAGTCATCGATTATTTGCATCAATTATTATTTTGTTTTATTGATCATCACTAGTTGTCCGAGATAAAACATGTGTTTTCGGAATCGTTAAAACTTTTTTAACATTAACTGAACAGTGAACTTTAAAATCGTTTATGATTTGATACTGGATATAAGAATAGTTTATTTTTTTAATGTAGTATTTGTCTCTTAGAAAAACTATAGAACAGAATAATTCTTCTGAATTATGAGACTTACTATATTCAAACTAAACCTAAATTGAAAATTCTATATTTTTAGAAATGTGTATTCAACGCTGGTTGTTTTGATTTATTATATAAAATAGATAATATTGTTTTTATTGATCTTAAATTTATTATATAATTCTACAAGAAATCCAATTACCTGTTACAAAATATAAATACAAATCTAGTATAATATATTATCTATAACAATTCGGTTGTAATTAGCGAATTGCGTTAAAAATAATTCAAACTTTAATAAATGGCATTTATAACAATACACGGCATTATGCGATTTAAGCCTTACCTTGTATGTATTACTATAATATATAATATAATAATATAAAATATAATAAGATATTATATAATAATATATAATATAATAATAAACAATATAATAATATATAATGTAATAATATATAATATAATATTATATAACGTAATAATATATAATATAATAATATATAATATAATAATATATAACGTAGTAATATACAATATAATAATATATAATAACTTCGTTCGGAATTATTGACATTTTAAAAATTAATGGTTCGTTTTCGTTTTTAATAGTTTTATATATAATAATTTTTTTGATTTCATTGATGAAAAAGTTTGATTTCATTTTTTTAAAAATTTGAAATATTATTGCAAGGTCTTAATAATAATAAAATCTTCGTAATAATAATGTTAATAATCTAACCAATTCAAGCTAATACTTCTATCAAATTTTAAGTGTATTTCTGAATATTCTGTATTTATAATCTTTAAGAAAGATTAGGAGTTTCTAAATGCCGCATTAGTTTGGTTGTTGAGATACCAGACTTCAAACTTTTAAACTAATTATATTGATTACACTGAGAAAATATTGTACAAGTTCTTTTAGGAAGAACTGGAATTAGATTAGATTTTAAAAGAGTTAGGAAATTGTTACCACGTCACTGCATCCTTTGAGGATTATTGTGACACACCCACTTTAATTGTCCAGTGAGAAACCCTCTGATAAGTCGGATGCCACAACTGTTAACCATTAGTAGCTTCCTAGTTCTGGCTTTTGTTCGATTCAGAATGAATTCTTTAGCTTGTCTGCAGGCAATTTTCAGCCAATCATTAATTTCAAGTTTGAAAAAGGTCCATAAAGTTTTTTTGGTACTGGTACTCGTAAACTCAGTTGATTACACAAACGACTATGAGCAGCAAATCTACTTGTTGGTGTTTTTTGATATAAATATTTACAGCTTTAAAAAGCCCATTGTCAAAAGAAGTTCAGAAGAGTATTCATATATTTTATTAATTGTAACACATTTTTACTACAATTAGTAATTAATATTGATTTAAAAAAAATTTATAAACAACATAATATGAATTATTTTTGGTATTAAGTTTTTTATATAATTAAGATCACGTTATAACAAAAAGGCTATTGTTCACAATATCAATTATAATCAAAATAAGGGTATTAATTATTAATTTTTTTTAATGATCACATTTCTTTCCCATAAAAAGACGAGTAGCAACAATAGATAAATTTCTTAATTACTAAATGCACACATAAACGGCAGAAACATTCAATTATGGGAATCAAACCAAATAATAACAGAGAAAATATGAAGAAAAAACTGAATAAATTTACATAATCTGAGCTCACACATTTGTTACACAAAAATTCTAAAAATATATTGAATACATCATCAACAACTACCTCATCATCAGCAACAGCATCTACGAATGTTGCATGTTCATATGCAACTGAGTTAATTATTTACTTGCCACTACCCATGGCGGAACGGTAGAGTCGAGAGAGAAATAAAATTGTAAAGCATCAATTTTAATTTAATATCGCAGATAACTCATCTTAGAAATATTTTAGCTATTAGATAAACATTTGAGGAAATGCTACAAAATTAAAAATATATTGAAAATCCAATATCCAATCACTAGAGAACAGGTTCTAAGCTCACTGCCAAACCATACTTGACTCACTGCCTCGGCCTCGGCCTCGCACAGTTACGGCTAATTAAGTGCTCCGAACATACTTCACCGGACAGACTTTGGTCGAAGAAAAACACGGCAAAAGCATGGTTCAGTTTAGCTAAACCTCAAATAAAGTGGCTTGGCTAGAATCACAATTCAAAACAAAAGGCGCCAATTTTTAATCTCTTGAAATATTCATAAAAATTCTAATGACGTCTTTTTCATAACATTTTAAGTTCGCTTGAGCTTGTACGAGTATTTATAATCGGAACCTGTTTCGATATCCATGGAATTAAAATCAGTGAAACCAAATTAAGGTAATTGATCAAAAATGTACCGCTTTGATATGAGATACCAGTAAAAATAATGAAAGCACTTCGACTGTTTAGCTTACATGTTTCGGAATACCGGTTTTGGGTTTAATGGAGAAGAATACATAATTAAAATCATTAAAAGTTATCAAAACGAAACAAATCAAAATGTAAACAAAAAAGGAAAAAATAAAATTTATAAATTTTACACATAATAATATATTTACTTATTCATTATAGTTGCAATTCAAAATGATATTGTCATATCTTCGGAATACTTTACATTTTTCAACATATGTTTATAAAAGACCTTAAAAACAAGTATATGGTGGGATCATGTCAGGCGAAACAGTGTTCGCAAATACTGGGAAGTGTTACAGGCGATATTACATTGACTACGAAAAACTATAGTAAGCAAAGGTCTTAAAAATAAAGAAAAGAAGAGAAAATTTTTTTTTTTGATAAACTCAAGTGTCAGAGCTGTTTTACAAACTTCTATGCTTCGAATTTGCAATCTTTTCAGCATATTTTTTTGTAAATTCCGTTACCACAAAAATCTAACAGAAATATGTCTATATATTACAGATTTTTTAAAGCTATTGCAAAATATTACGTATTTTACTAGTCTATAATCTTAACACTAAACAGTAAGGCCGCATTTTTGTCACTTGATCGGCGCTAGTCAATATTAGTACTATTCATATTATTTGGACATTTAAAGAACCGAAGTTCTCCGATTATTCGATTAATCGGATTTCAAGGAAATCTCCGAAGTTGAAAAAAAAATCAGATTTTTTGTAAATCCGGAGCCTTCGAATATTTGTATATGCGATTATTATTCGTAGTATATTCAATTCTATATTCTAATGTAACTCACAAGAGTAAAGTGACAGCACCAAGTTTTTTGTCGCTAGCTTGCACCGGGTCTTATACTATATATATTGTATAGCAAAATTTTAAAATAATATCATATTCTACGATTATATCATAATTATTAAAAATATTGTATATTACCTTATTCCGCATTATTACCGTATTCTGTGCAATATTATTACGGTTTAATTGAATGACGTTCTTGCAGACTTCACAAAGTTCATAATTATTATTATTACCGCTCACGTTCCCAACACCAACGTAGCTGTTATTAGTAGTATTTTTGCTATCGTAAATATTGACATCATTATGTCTACTACTTTTTGAATTATGTTGACTTGAATTACGTTCATTTTCACTTTGTGATGTTGAACTGTCATCAATAAAACGAAATTCAACACCTTCACCGGCTACAGCTTCTAGCGTAGTGCCGGTAGTGTGTGGACTATATGAAGCACAACTATCGGCATCATCACCATCATGACGCTCTTCATCGTTATCGTCCAACACACAACCAAGACTATTCGAGCGTGTCTTCTTTTCTAATGGAGGTCGTCGTCGTGATATCACTTCACCTTTCTCATTAAGTAGCAATTCAATGGGTCTGGAAATGATAAGCGTGCGTGTAGTTGTTGTAGTTGTAGTACGTTTTAATTCGGACTTCTTATTTAGTACAATTGTATTAGTTTCTACACTAGGTAAACGCATGATCTTAAAATCTCTACTAACGTCAGTGGATATAACAGTTTTTGAACTTAATGTGGAAGTAGTCGGTGTGGTTGGTATGGAACTAGTTGTACTTGTGGCAGTGTTTGACGGTATTTGATAAACAGCTACACTAGTATATGGTGACGTTGCTGTAGGCGCTGTAGGTGTATCTAGTGAAGGCGAGAAATTTGGCGAGTTTGGCATTTTTGGAGTAGTTGGAGAATTTATAGAATTTGGAGAATTTGGCTGTGTTAATTGAATTTCAGTAGGTGACGGTGGCGTGTGTGAACGTGATTCTTGTGCCAGCACATTACAGCAACAACGCGAGCATAGCTGCGATACACGACGACCCGTTACAAGACCACGTCGATCATCATCATCATACTGTAAGCTATCAGTAGATGCAACACCTGTCGCAATTCTACTCGCTGATGTAGCTGTTGTATTCCGCCTTTTTTCAAGATGACTCGGTGTTGTTGAGGATTTTTTATTTGTCACATGCAATGCTGCATTGGGTGCAATATAAAAGGTACTATTCGAGCTGAGGTCAATGCAACTACGCTGAAATTGTTTATCTGCAGTATGAAGATTAGCTGCTGATTTCTTGTTCTTCGGTTGACGACGTAGTGATGAGAACCAGTTTGAGACACTTGAAACACTCGGTCGTTTTTGTTGCAGCGAAGCCATATTTGTGGTTAAATAATGATGTATAGGCACACAGTACGAATACAGCAATTATGGTTTGAGATTTATGTTAAAGTTAGGATATTTAATATAAAAAAAAATTTTTTTTTTTTGATAAATTTTTTTTTTTGTTACACTTGTATTAAATTTTTTATAGTTGTCAGTTTTTACATACAAAACTTTAATTGTACATTTCCTTTAGAAACTTGTTCTTGTAATTATTATTTTATTTCTTTTATTTTTCAGTTTTTTATTTTCTGAATAGCACTTTTTTTTGTATTTATTTCTTATTAAAGTAGAGTTTAGTTCGAAACTTGTTTATTCTTTTTGGTTTATCGGATCATATTTATACTTGGTTATACACGTTATTATTTAGGATTTCTGTAGTGCACATCTGTAAATAGTACCAAGCAGGCATTTAGAAATTGTAATTCGTTGACTTGTTGCATGTGGCGACAAAAACACATTAAAGTGAATGCCGCCACTGCTCATTACAAAATGTAATACGATAAAAAGTCTATAAGTATGTAAGCGAAAAAAAGAAATGCTATCTTTTAAGCGTTTACATAACCAACAACAACAACAACAACAATTGATCTAAAATTGCCGACAGCTTCAACAACCCATTAAAAATTTAAAATGCAAGCGATATAAATGTCTCAGACCATCGCTCACTCTAATAGATTCAGTTCCTGAACAAAGGTTTAATGAAAATCACTTGCAGTTGCAGTGCCACCAGCAATAAACAAAAACAAAAACAAAAACAAAAACAATAACAAAAACCGAAAAGCGAAAAGCTGAACAAAGGCGTTAGCAGACGAGAGACACTAAATTAGATTAGATGTCCTAGCCGTGCCATTTGCAGTTTCATTGGTCAGGTCAAGTCATAAAATAAATTATGCTTACATTAATGCGTCGTACTACTACAATATTTCCTTAGCGCAGATGCATTGCATTGCATTGCGTTCAATGTACGCTTTATGCGCTCTACTTCCGTAGAGCAGATACATTAAGTAACTAACCAGTAAACCAGTAAACTAGCACAAAACAAAGCCGCTTATACTATATGCAAGGATTATAACTTTTTCTAAGCAGGATAAAACAAAGAATGTAAACAATGTTTTTATTTGTCTGCACGTATTAGAGGGAACATAAAAAATACACTGAGAGTAAATTCTGATTTTATAGCAAAATTATGCTTAATTAAGGTGCCAACAAATGACAAAATGTACATTGCCACAAAAAGTACAACGCATAAATAAAGTAACAAAGACTCTACAAAAAAAGGAAAGGACTCAACTTCATCCTGTTCGTCATTCTGCGCCGTCATCAGCACAAAAACGTTTTGTAACAGGAAGCACTCGTAAAAAGCAAGGAAATTTATATTTATGTAAGAAGAGATTTTATCGATTAAATGCAAATTAGCTTAGTTAAAGGCAAAAGGAAGAAAAAGTTATAGGAAACCTTACAAAAGTCTTCTCTCATTATCATGTAAAATATGTAAACCAAACCAATGTGGGTTTATCTAAAATACATTAAACACATAGCGCCTAGTTAAGCGTAAATGTCAATACCTTATAACAGAACGCAGGATGTGGCACAACTGTAAAGAATTTTACATTATTAGATTTTCATCATGAGAGCTGTAATTCAGAAGGATATATTTATTTTCTTTTTGTCTTGATTTGACATAAAATACTGCATACACTAATGAGTCATAATAAAAGAGAGACTTGTCGTTAAGGAAATTAAAGATTCAAGAAGTATCTTCTTTTGATTCAAATAAATTTATTTTTACTTGAATTAATAATTTCTGATTTCATCATTTAATCATTTTTCAAATTTATAAGTTAAAAAAAAAATATTTTACTTAACGACTGAGCTTAAGTCTACATTTAGTTTACACTTATGTAGTTGAAGTTTACTTTAACTTGTAAGTTAAATAAAAAAAACCAACTATATTCTCTCATGCTCTGTAATCAACCATTTAATACTATACTTTCTGCTTCCCAATCTAAAAGAATGATCAATATATTGCCATAGTCCATATACACATTACAGCCTTTTTAAAATCATAATTTATAGATGTAATAAAATTGTCTACCAGTACAGCTTTAAGTCAGCTGACTAATGAACGCTGACTCTGAGTTACAAATTTGGCAAGGCACGAGCTCAATCCCTAGTACTTGCAGTGTCAAAAAATTATTTACAAATAAATACAATAATTATTTTCAAGACCACTGACAATGGGTATTTGGCAAAACTCGAAACAGCTGTATGGTTAAACAAAAATTGTATTAATTAAAATAATATAAAAGAATTTTTGTTGTTGTAGTTCACTACTTTTCAAAAATTCTCTTTATTAAAATACTACTCGTAATATAAAAAAAATATATATTAAGTTTGTTGAATAGTTTAGAATAATAATAATATGTTGAACACGACTATAATACCATATTTACAGCATCGCAATTTGAAGAGGAGATTTGGTGTGCGAGTTTATTTAGCTTAATTCTATAGAAAAATTGTGATTTTGAAGTTATAAATTTGTACTTTATATATTGAAACAAAGAGTAGACAGCAACGTATATATCAAATTTTTATATTAACGAGAATTATCAACAGCTAGTTTGCTTGATATCTCTAAAATCAAGTTATAGCTACATATAATGGCTACATACATATTATAGCTACATATAAATGTAGCCCTAGCTTCTCCTAGGAGTTAAAGCATTCAATATATATATAATCGCAAAAGAATTAACAAATTCACCTAAACCCGACATCAAATCATGGCGCTTTGGTTATCATAATCATAAGAGTACTAGTTTCTTAGTTTGTGAAATATTTGAAGTGACTTACGTATTGTAATTCTAGAAAAATATATAAAATAATGAAATATATATAAAATATAAGATATAATATTTAAAAATATAGCAACACAAAGCTAACAGTCTTTGGTTTTATATTTATTATTGAAAACATCCATATATTGTATAAATGCAGTTTAATATGAGTAAATTTATATTACCTATTTGAAATAATTTTTTGCATAGAATTTTTTGATTATTAAAAAAAAAAGCCAGCCAAGGCAAATTTCTAAATACGTTTATGTATGCCATCCATGTCAGTATTAATTTTTTAATTAACATTACATATAAGTAATCTTTTTACTCATTTTTAGGAAAGTTAAGCTGCTTAAAGTGTCAGAAAGATACCGCTTCAGTAAACTATTATGACACATATCATCAAATTTGTATATAATGAAATATTTATTTTTAATACTCAAAATAGCTGCTTAATTAAGCACTCCTGTGTATCTTTACTGTCATAGCGCAAACAGTACATAATAGCATTTTTAAGTGAAAAAAAAAAATCTATATAAATAAAAGGTAAATGTCATTAAATTCCAACACTTTGTTAATTTTTAATATAAAAAAATTCTATAATATGAAGTTAAAAAAAAAACTTTTCGCTAACAAGTAGCAACCGAACCAAGCCAGCCTGAAGACATGACGTGACTGGCATAAATCTAAATGGAATGAAGAATGAAGAATGAAGCAATACAAAGCACATTATAATAAGAAAAAACTTGAAGTTTACATTTTTGAAAGACGTTAAAAATCAAAATTTTGTAAACAAACTCAATCAAATTAAACTCGACAAGAAAAGTTCTGATAAACAAGATAAAAATAATACTAACTCTAGAACCATACAACCAGCAAGTAAGTGCTCATCACTACACACTATACACACTACACACACTACACACAAAATCATCCAATATGAAAATAGAAGTACTCGCTCGTACGTGGACTTGCACGGACTTAACCGCATACAAAATCTACAACAAAAATTGAACTACAGGTAATGATGTTCTTTGGTTACCTGCGGCGCTTCTATATACAATATACATAAACACAATTTATTCCAAATAAAGCATGCAGACCCCTAGCAAGAAACCTTATGGATTATAGCACAAGTAGTAGTAGTAGTAGGAGTAGGAGAACGGAAAGGAGGAGGAGTGGTAGTCACAAAAGAAAAGTGGGCAGCAAACACTAAAATCTATTATATCTATCTATACAACAACTATCTGAAAAAACACATCGTAAAGTAATCGAAAATAAATAAAGTCATTGCATTGAAAAAAATAAACCAATTGTAATAAGAGAAGGAAAAAATGAAATCCAAAGGAACACTTACTGAAGATTTTTCCATGAAAACAACACGAAAAAAATGAGCAAAATTTAAACCGAAAAAAAAAAAATAGAAAATTTTTAATACAAAAACCCGCAGCAGTAGTTGCCACTGCAAAGCGTTAAAATTTTATCAATACGAAGCGATACGATACGCTTTACTTAGTCCAATTCACTTCACTTTGGCTTAGATTAAGTTAGGATAGGCTAGGTTAGGTTAGGATGGTAGGTTTTGATTGCTTTGGGTAGCAATTTTTAAATTTGTACCCACCCGTACATATATATATATATATATCCATGTAAGTTTTGATATTTAATTTTCTTTCTTTTATGCTGAAGGTACGTATGTGTGTACGTACGTTTTAAGGTTTGGTAGTGCGTTGGGAATCTGATATGTCAAAGCAATGACAATGCTCGCGGTACTCTAACGCAAATGGGAAATACAATAATAAATGAAAATAATTGAAAATGCGATAAAATTTTATTGTGTGAACAAAATTTATTATTTTCATTAAATATATTATGGCATGTTTTTGTGTTTAACGTAACAAAGTACCACCAAACTAAATACAAGATATTTAAGATGATAATTGTGTATGAGGGCTTCAATAGTATTGAAGAAAGGAGGGTGGAGTTAAGGACACATTTCTGGTTTTTTTTTTGTTTTTATTTAATTTTACCCGTAGATTTATCTTTAATCATTTTTACAAACAAATCAATTTTTTTCAAACCATATTTTTTTAATATCAATAATCAAATTAAAATGTGAAACAAACACAATCCAGCGATATAATATCTTCTATATCTTTATCGTATTGCTAGATATAATTTAAAAAACGTTCCCAACATTTTTTTGTAGCTGGTTTAGTATTTATTTTAATCTATATATAGACAAATGCATATAGCAAATGCTTAACTATAA